AATTAGTAAACTGGAAACAGATGTATCAGGACATGACTGTTGTGCTGTGGATCAGGTCACTAAAGAGCCACTCACGTCATTGCTGCATGTGGCGCCAGTCTCGGGAGGTCTGTGGTGTCTTGAGTTGAGGGTTGAAATGAACATACGTCAGTATAAATAAATCACATTAGTGCCCTTTACTGGTATTATGTCAGTTTCAAACATTGTAGATTCTACATCTGCAGTAATGATTTATGTTGCTAATTTACTTTACAATTCTAATGGTAAGGTGCTACACGGCTTAATATAGCCACTGGCTCTCCGTGGGCCTTGTGTATGGAAGGATAGTAGGATAAAATTGTTGATGCCATAGGAATGGCTGGATGTTTCAGACTAATTTTTTTTACCTTGTCTCAAACATTTGCTCGGGAATTTCAAATGTTTATTTTAAAGGTTATAGAGGCTGGATCTCGGTGGCGTTGGTTAGGTCTGCGCATGGCGGGCTACGGTGGCTGTGGGCTGCGTCCGTGGTGCGCGGCCCCGTTTGTTCTCTGGCGGGTTCAGCAGAGAGAGAGGTCAGAAATAGGTGTAAGAGGTCTCTGCTGTTACTTCCCAATGTTGTCCCTGAGTCGGTGGGTTGCGGCTAGGGGCCAGTGGTTTAAGGGGGTAAGCAGAGATCTTCGGTGGTTGAGTAAGTGGTGCCTGCGCAGACCTCACGCCAAAGAATAGGTTACAGAGAAATTGTTGTTTATGGTGATAATTAATGTTTGAACGGAAATTATATATTTAAAGATATTTTATAATAAACGGCTGCTACAGCCATTTTATATCCAACCTGGTGTGGTCCATTATTTAAGGTGGGCATGGGTCATGGAGGGGTTAAGGGTTGTAGTCAGCAGTGGGTGGTTGGGTCATAGGACGGCTGTGCCTTACCCTGTTAAGCAAAAGGTATCCACAAGTCTCCCTTCCACCACGAATCCAAATTCATAAGGGGAAATAAAGGGTTTATTCCTAATTATAATAGTGTAAGTTATTATGTTATGACCCTAGGCCACATGTGTAACTAAAACTTCTGGTCTCCTTGTTTTGTTTTTTTTTTCTTCTTGCATGAGAAATATGCTGTCATAAGAGTTAGCAACTCGGCTGGGACATTTCCACTCACAGGAATGTGTACTATATCCTGCTTTATGTTTTCATTTACTCATTTATTTGCTGATTCCAACGTGTGTTTATTAAGGCTGCACTTTTGCTAATTCTTTGGTAATATTGAATACTTATTCTTTTTTGAATGTCCATTTTTTTTTGGTACCAAATATGTGCGTTATCTAACATTGATTGTATTACCTGTCATTTTTTTACTGTATGTGTTAGGGATGTGCCGATATATATCGGCTACCGAAACATATCGGCTGAAAATGGCAATTTTGTCAAATGCCGAAAGTTCAATTGTTCTGCTGAAATAGCAGTGCATCTCTCCTTTCTCTCCTTCCCGCTGGGCACTGCTCTGTGTCCCAGCGGGGAGGAGAGAAACTATCACAGGAGGCCGAGCGCTGCGGGAAGAGAGCGCTGTGAGTGGCCGGTGTCTCTCCTCCCAGCACAGCACAGCGCAGCCTCTTGTTACAGATCAGAAGAGCGGCAGTGTGGGCGGAGACAGCCAGCACTGTCACAGGAGCTCGGCCGGCGGTACGGGGGAGGAGTCAGCTGTCAGATAGAGATCTCCTCCCCGCACCGCTCGCTCAGCCTCCTGTGACAACGTGTCAGAATGGAGAGCGGCTACAAGCAGTCAGTGATTGCTGAGTGTTTGTAAATAATTGAGGACATAGTATGTTTACTGTGTCCTCAATTATGAATGAATGGGAAGTGATCTACATCACTTCCTGTTCATTCATGATTGCAGATGTAGTAAACATACTATGTCCACAAGTTATGAATGAACAGGAACACTCAGTACAGAGGCTTCCTGTTCATATATAACAGGGGCTGCAGAAAAAGAGATTGAGGATTCTGAAAAAGTTAGAAAAAAACATTTTCAGTTTCGGACCAACATTTGTTTTCATTTCAGTTTCGTTTCGGTTTTAAAATTTTAATTTTTTTTTCATTAGATTGTGTTCATGAATGAACTTGATTTAACTATAAAAATTCTGGGTTACAGCACAGATATAGCCTAATAATATAGAGGCATCCTTTCCTAACATTATATTGCTGTTTAGAGCTTATTAGCCATGCGCATTTTAGTGTATGTGAACAATGGCCTCTATGGAATAGAGCTTTGCGACCAACAAGAAAGTATAACCAGACATTTGTATGGTGAGGTGGGCTTAAAAAGCAAGGTTTTTTTTTGTTTTTTTGTTCCTTTAAGAACACCTTAAAAACCTAGTTGTTCCTTAAACGATCTGTGCTCCCAAAAGTAGTGTTTCAGTTTATAGATACAGACTATTTAGATAAAAGCAAAACTCCGCCTTTAAAACCTGCCATTCTCTTTAGTGCTTAGCTTCTCTTTGACGCTGTTCCCCCACATACTAGTTGCTCTGCGATTCAGCACTGCTCGTCTTCCTGGTTGAATGATGCCCAGCATCATTCAACCCATTACCTGTGAGCCCAGGTCAACGGTGGGTCAACATGTTGGCCTGGGTTCATAGACCTCTTGGACAGAAGATCACTCACAGTGAGTGAGATAATGTGTACTGCACTATCCTGTAGTAAGGCCCATCTACCTCCACTGTTGGAGAAGAGGAAGGACTCTTGACTTCATGTGACAAGCCTGAAAACTGCTGGAATAAAGATATGTATAGTAAAGTGAGTTTAAAGGAGAACTATGGGGTAAGTCTTTTTCCCCATAGTTCTCCTAAGGGTCACGGGAGTACACAAACTAGCGTCCTCCCGTCACCCAACGCTCAGTATACTGAGACCGCCACAGCCGGGACGGATCCCGACATTACTGTCGAGATCCACCCAGCTGCGTGAGTGACAGCTGGCTCTCCCTATCTAGAGGCAGAGCCAGCTGTACCCTCCCCCGTCCGCTCCTCCGCTCAGCACTGGAGGATCGGTTAGGGGAGGGGGGAATCCCTGCAGGGAGCCGTGACTTGGTATGAGGTTGAGTGAAAATCACTCACCTCATAGTTCTCCTTTAAGAAAAAATGATGTGTGGTGGAAGGGAGGCTTTAGGGAAGTGGAAGACGTGGGAATTTTATAACCTAGAAAACCGAATCACCCTTTGGTCCCTGATCCTTCATAGGGAGTGCAGCAGGAAGATCTCCTTGCCACTTACCTTATTTCCCAAAGATCTTCCCATCCACCCCTGTGTTCCCTCTACTCCATTACTTTTTTAAAAATAGGAAAAAATAAATAAACAAAAATGGGCTCAAGAGATATTAACCTTTTAGGGTAGTTCACCTCCTTATCTTCTTTCAAAAACTAAAATATATTTTTTGGATGGGTATTATACTGACAATTGTTAAAAGTGCTCCAGTTTGTGTATCACATTTTTGGGTGGATATTATACTGACAACTGTTAGAAGTGTTCCAGATTGTTATTTAGTGTTTGTAATCACCAGCCTTTGATGTGACCCCTGGGGCCTCTCTATGCTCCTTTAACTAGCTCTTCCTGAAGCATTGTGCAGAAGCTCCTGTCATATGAATAAGGTTGCTGTATGATGGAACACAGTAGTCAGTAGCATTTTGCTTAGGCTAGATGTAATAAAAATGCAATAAGATTCCAAACTGCATCCATGACCATTTTCTGTTTCGACCTTAGAGAAAATTGTCTTTTTGGTACACATTTTTACACACTATGCCAAGGAGTTTAACATACATGACTTACAGTCTTCATTATATGGCAAGGGGTTGAAAGAGATATCTATTTATATATAATTGTGGAACATAAAATCATCAAATTAGAAACTAATTACTTAATGTCAATACTAATTTTTACTGAATAAAATAGTAATCAGCGTTGCAACAGTGCACAGTTCAACGTCTAGAAAACATAAACAAATTGGAGAAAGAATAAACAAGATAATTGGCAGGCAAGTACTTGGATAAAGTGAGAAGGATAGACAAAGCTGATGGCTGAGAATGAAATAGGTTTAGAGGAGGAATGAAGAAGACAACTGATGAGTGATTGAGGATTGGAGGTGGTTAAAAAAGGATAAACAAGGACAGTGAATGAGATTTGGACTGATGGGTTACTGAGGATTGAAGGAAGTTTGAGGAAAATATTGAAGGACACTGACATTTGGAGAAGGAACAGATGAGTAACTGGGGATTGGAGGAGGTTTGAGGAGGACAAATTATAAGTGACTGAGGTTCAGAGGCGTAAAACGGGAGTTAGGTGATAGACGGGTGACTGACAGACATATGGAGGAATGAGAAGGATGTTTGATAATGGATGACTAATGTTTAAAAGAAGTGTAAGACAGTCAGAAGAAAGGATTGCTGACACGTGATTCGAGCTTGGAAGAAGAGTAAGAAGGATTCAACAGGAAGTTGGCTTACATGTTAGCAAGGTTTGAAGAATAGAGGAGGATGTATAAGAAACACAACTCACAAGTGTCTGAGGTTTTCTGAAGTAGCTGTGAGGCAAGAGAGAGGTTGTATGGAAAAAGGAAGACAAAGGTTTGTTAATAGAGTGAGAGACATGTCTAAAATGAACACTGTAAAGGATTATGTGCCACATCTCTCTATATTTGATTTATACCTGAATGATTTTGTATATAGGTTTGGAAATCCATCTAACAAAAAATAAAATGTTCATGAACTGTTCAGGATAATTAGGGTAAATGTAATTGCCAAGCACCAGGTGTTTTAAGTGTTTGGGACACGGCTGTAGAATAAAATGTTAATATTATGCAAAAATACATATTTAACAGTTTTCAGACTCGGCACTTGTTTAATTCAGGTGGAATAAAGACAAACTAATCTTCTAAAAGGAAAGAGACCATTTCTGCTGTAATCTGAATATATTTTGACTGTTCTTTGTAAAACTTTCTGTATTTAGTAACCTCTGCATTTCTGTTCTTCAGGTGATGAAGTATTAGAGTGGAATGGGCAGATATTACAAGGCGCAACATTTGAAGAAGTTTACAATATTATTCTGGAGTCCAAACCAGAGGCACAAGTAGAATTAGTGGTCTCCAGACCCATAGGGTAAGTATGCCTAGTTTTCACACCACCAATAAATGGTTGGAAGGATCATTAACAGAATCATCCATATTTTATATGGCAAAAGAACAATGTGGGTAGTGAAGTAACCCATAACATCCAAATAGCACTAATCACAGGTTATTTCTACCTTTCTAAACTGAAAAGTACACTGACACCCATACATGTGGTCAGCTAGTTGCAAAACAATACAGAGAGTCTCAAATAAGTGTTACTTTATGCTTAATTTAAAGCTGAAGTCCAGCCCCTTCAAGTATACCTAAAGCCAAGACGTTTAGTTTTGGATAGACTAGGAAAGGGGTTAAAACCTGGTTTTTGTGTCCCAATGGGGAACGTACCCGTCATTTTCTGTCCCATAGACATTCGAAGCAAGAGAATATATTTCCAAAGCAAAGCAAGTCCTCTCTTAGGCATTTGTAACTGCATTGAAAAATGTCCACTTGACTACTTAACATTTTAGATTTTCCCTGACTTTCAGTTAAGGTGGGAATGGTTGCAGGACAAAAAAGGCTAAATTTCACCAGCAGAGTTCCAGACAACAGAAATTGCTTGACAAGGTTGATCACCCTTTCTAACTTTATCCAAAACTAAATTTTTTTTTCATATTACATACACTATAAATTTGCATTATGAGCATTCATCAGTCTTTCCAAAACTGCACAGCTATTTGTAACCAGCTAGTGAGGTCAGGGGTAGTTTGTTTTAAAGATTTTACTGTTTCTTGGCCACAAGGGCACTTTAATGGATATCTTTACTTTCTTGTTATATATAATGATGACCTTTTCTGATCATGTTAGTTGCCTCTCTTATTTTTATTATGTCCAATATATCTGCATTTTTTACATCTCAGCAAGTCAAATCTCCAAATTAGCATTATAGCCACTTCAAGAGCCTGTATGTACCATTAGAGAACATAACAGGCGTTAATTATTTACCAAGTTCTTTTCCTGCCTTGCTTCACAGTATCGCTTTTACCAGAATAGCCGGATCATTCTTAACCTTTCTGCATGTGCTCACTATGAAGATGGTGAGAAGGTCTTTATTAAGTGTTGGCAAGGGCTTGTATCTGTCCTTATATGACTCCAGCCTGAACCATCACATCACATCCTAATGTTATGCTGATCTTTGTGGGATAAAACTGGCTGGAGGAATATCATATTCAGACTAGTCAGCTAGTATGGGGCAGATGACTGTATGCTGTTTTGGAATCCTTCTGCAATAGGCTGTGTGTGGTCCTAAAGACCATATATTTCTCCATGTGTAAGTGTACATGCATGTTTCTAAGTGCATATAGGAATTTGAACTACGGACTATGGGGTTACTTTACTGAAGGCAAATAGGCTGTTCACTTTGCAAGGGAATTTTCACTTTGAAAAATAATTTTACATTAGCTCAGCCTTTCTTAAGCCGGGTGCCATGGCATCCTGGGGAGGGGAGGGGCTTCTGGTATTGCCAGAGGTGCCTTCAAATTTTTACACAGTATTGTGCATGTCCATGGTGCAAGTAAGCTGGCCACCAACACAATGGAAATGCATGAATACAGACATACTCTCCCTCCCACATTACGCCATGCTGCTGCAACCTCACTGTGATGATGACTATAAGGAAGGACTCTGATGTGAAGGGGACTTCTGATATGAAAGAGGGGGACTCTGATGTGAAGTGGGGAACTCCACATCAGTTTGACTGAATGTGGCAAAAGTTCACTTTGCAAAGTATACTCAATCATAAGTAAGGAAAATAAAAAAAGACATATGTGAAGGCTCTCATTCATCCAGGTCATGGTATATCTGTAAAGAGTAAGTCAAGGCAACTGGACCTGCTGTATTTTTCTTGAACGTCTTCAAGAAAAATACAGCAAATCCAGTTGCCTTGACTTATTCTGTACAGATAAAAAAAGACTGTATTTTTGCTTGCACGTGACTGGATGATGGAAGTCAGCAGAGCTTCACCTTGTTCACTGAGCTAGAGTAAAATGCCCTTGCAAAGTGAACAGCCTATTTGTGTTTAGTAAATCAGCCCCTATGTGTTCCTCCTGAACTTGAAAATCAGTCTTTTTTTATAGGAAAATTAAGTTTGATTTGATATTATTTTTAGTTATGACTGTGCATATGTCAGAATATATCAACAAAGTTTTACCATTCTGTTTCAGAGATATTCCCAGGATACCCGATAGCACACACGCCCCGCAAGATTCCAGTAAGTCACATGCTGTGTTTATTTGTATGCTAACATTTACTTTCCTGTGTGAATCACATGTTCACATTGATATTGGTCAGTGATTCTGATGATGTTGCTGTCCCTCAAATGTTTCTTCAACTGGAGACATCTGAGATTAAAAACAACCTAATCACCTAGATGTGTCTGCATATAGCTGGAGCAGCCTCCCAATTCTTCCTTTCATGGCTGAATCCCAGCCGGTTTAAGCAGGCAAATCTCAAGACACTTCTAGGTAGTGTCAGAGCTTGCCACTAAGCTACCAAACATTCCTGTTGGTCCTTCACTATGATAAGTAACTCACTAGCCAGTAGTAATGTCCAGGAAGCAGGCAACTCTAGATGCCTGTATTATGTTCCTCCTGCAGTTTTCTTTTAGATGACAGATTGTCTTTAAGTAAGGGATCCAGTTGCTTAAGAACAACTTTTATAATAGGGCATAAATGCAAAAAGCTGTGGGAAAAATCTCAACACTGAAGTCTCCAGGGTACATGAGATGTAGTGGGCGAATCTGCCCATCCATGCCTACCCAAAAATAAAATATTATATTCAGTTGAAGTAGGGCCTTTGAAGGGAACTTGTTGTCTAGATAAGCTGAACATATTTCGTGCTTTGAACCAACTTTCCTGGGAACACAGCCTATTGATCATGTGACACGTCCATTGTAATTATTTCTTTAGAGCAGTTATTTGTTGCTTGTGAGTTGATGGGTTTGATTTATCCCAGCTCTAGGCTCAGTGCACACCATGACTTTGCTTACTTATTTAGGTCAATAGTCAGGTAATGAAGGAGCAGACCTTGTTTAGATCAGCAAGCACGTTGGCATTTAATAAGTAGGTTGACAGCTAGTGGTTTGTTTTGTTCTGTATTTTAAAGAATACTTTACAGGTAAGAGGAAGTAGAATGAAGAGTACTGCACAATATAGTATTGTTAAAATTGTAGAGTTTTGAAGTTTCAAAGCCATTCCTGTACTCTTTGCTGCTTGAGACAGCTCTGGAAAATCAGCACTGCACTTGAGATACTGACGCAAGTACTGTTTCCTTAGGATCTGTAGTGGGTAGGCAATAACCAAGATGGATTATAAGGATAGCAAATTAGGTTTACAAGTTTCTTATGATGGAAAATTGCCCTCTATATAAGTAGCTTAAAGGGTCAGTTCACTTGACATTGGCATCTCGGTTAGAATTATGGTGCTAATGTTCAAATTTTTGGATTATTCTATTACTTGTGAACACCAGTCCTGAGATCATCTCATCAAATTTCCTGGCTCAGCCTTTTTTTGGACTCTTGTAGCCCCTTTTACTCCAGATCAGTTCTGCTCCTTCTGATGCATTCTCTTTGTAGAATGACTATACCTTTTATAACGTTATCCTTTAAGTTACCCTTTCCCCCAGCAATCCCGCAAAGTATTTTACTCACCTCTCCACATTCTTATCTGGTCCACATTGTACATCTCATGCTGCAAAATCTCCCTGCCAATACTTTACTTCTCTGCATACACAGACAATCCCATTAGTTTAATTCCTATGGAGAGGCCATCTATTATATAAAAAGAACTGGACAAAGTGCACGCATTTCTGGACTATTAGATAAGGAGTTGGTATACTGTTGGATAAAACATTTTTACTTTCCTGACAGGTTGGCAAATACTGAAATTGTTTTTTTATGGGTTGTGTGTTGTTCTGACTATTTTACTTTTCGAAACTAACTTTAGCTGTTTATGTCAATAGGTTCTAGTTCATTTGAGTCCCAGAAAATGGACCGTCCCTCCATATCTGTTACTTCCCCCATGAGCCCTGGAATGTTGCGTGACGCTCCCCAGTTCCTGTCTGGACAACTCTCAGTACGTACAAGTATTCTTTGATTTTGCAGTCTCCAGCCTTTTCTTTGAAACTGTTCCAAAGCCTTTTTGTACACACATAAGGCAACAGAGCGGTGGTAAAAATGTGGTAACCCGCAGCAGCCAATCAGAAGTTTTCATTTCACTGATGTGCCTTCAGTAATCTGAAATGTGGTTGCTCTGGATCACTGCACTTTGCACATCATCACCATTCTTTCACTTAGCTAGTTAACTTAATTGCAACGTGCACGGATATTAGATACACGTTTTCCTATTTGTGTGATTGCTGGATTACACCTCATAGGTGTGACTGTTATCAAAGTTTTAGGTCCTGTTCTATTATGTTTTGCACCTTTATTGTGACTTATCTAAATATATCAAAGAACAAAATTACAAGTGACACTAAATAAACAGAAAACATCTGTTCAGTATAGCATTATTGTATTGAGACAAAGAACAACTATTGTTGAATTATATTTCAGCGTTGTAAAATAAGTACAGTAACCTATGGCAGCCAGTTACATATTTGAGGTTGAATAAAGACATTAGTCCATCAAGTCCAACCTAGACATTAGTCCATCAAGTCTGACCTGTAGTCAGATCAGTTAACAGATGATTTGTGGTTGGTTACACCAAGGGTACTCCTGCTGTAGTGAAACTACAAATTATGTATTTGCTGACTTTTAGATTCTTGAAATGCCTTGTGGGACGTGTAGTTCCACCATAGCTGGAGTGCTGAGGTTTCCTCCCCCTGGGTTACAGCAGTGCTTTAGCAGATAAACCCATCTTCTGCCACCCCATTCCCCTTTCTGAATTCTAGAGAATCTATGATTAAATTAAAGACAATTTCACCCACTGCTAAAAAATCTGTAATTAGTGTAGAATACATATCAGTGTGCAACATTGGTTGGTTCCAGAACAGATTTCAATTAAAGATTCATGTTTTTTTTTGCTCTGCAGCTGTCCCGACACCTTTGTCTTATTTAATCAAAGTATGCGGTCTGATAACAACCCCACCCTTCCATTTTCTCTGTGCAATGAAGTCCGAATTTGTGGGCGGAGTTGTGACTGCGGCAAACTTGAGGGACGCTGTAGACCGTTGACAGAATATATATTACAATATAAAACAATGGTGTGTTCATGATAACAACTAACTGAATTATTGAAATAACTGAACATTGAAATAAGAGTAGAATTATGCTTTAAGTAAAGTTTCATAATTTGATTGGCCTAATGTTTCATTTAGGCTTTGTGACTGATACTGAGGCAATTTGTGTACTTGTCTCTGTGTCTGTAGCAATTCAGTGTATCTGCAATTGCTATTCAAATTTGCAGTGTCATATAGGTCATATAAATGTTTCAATAAAAGTGTCAATTTAACATTATTATTATTATTATTAGGGCCACACCGATACTAGTATCAGTATCGGTGTCGATACAGAGTATTTGGGCGAGTACTCATACTCGCCCAAATGCTCCCGATGCCTATCCCAATACCAGAACTTCTAGTATCAGAAAGCCGGGTGGCAAGTCATTACATGTTGCCCACCTTTCTGATTGGCCGGGAAGCCGGAACCATGCTTCCTCCTCACCAGGGAGCATAGAGCCTTTTCCCCGCACAATCAGGAAGTCAGGCGGCATGTATTGACTCGACCCCCAGCTTCCTGATTGGTCGCGAAGCTGGCCAACTAAAAAGCCAGGCGGCGAGTCATTACCCGACCCCCGGCTTCCTGATTGGCCAGAAAGCCGGCTCCATGCTTCCTTGTCACCTGGTGACATGGTAGCATGGAGCCTTTTTCCTGGCCAATCAGAAAGCTAGGCGCCGTGCAATGTCTCACCGCCCAGCTTTCTGATTGGTCGAGAAGCTGGCCAATCAGGAGGCCAGTTAGTCGAAACCAGCCACTTGGTGGCGAGGGAGCATGGAGACGCTTTCCGGCTAATTGGGAAGCTGGGCAGCGAGTCATTACATGCCGCCCAGCTTCCCCCGCTAATCAGTCCCCATTCACACTGAGCGTATCGCAAATCGCGCGTTTGTCGCGCGATTTGCATTTTGCGCGATATTGCGAGGTTTGTCGCGCGACATCGCGCAAATGGTTGCATTGAGCAAAGTAGAATTGCGCCGAAATCCGTTTCAAAAAGGGTTCTGTTGTAGCGACGCACGACCCGTGACAGCGACAAACAGAGCCCCATTGCCATGCATTGGAGAGCGATATCGCGCGGTAAATATCCGCGATATCGTGCAGATTACCGCACGATAAATCGCTCAGTGTGAATGGGACCTTAGGAAGCTGGGTGGTGGATCATTACACGCCGCCCGGCTTCCTTAATTAGACTTCCGGTATCAGTATCGGTATCGGCAAGAATCAGAGAAAAAAATATCAGTACTTGATACCGAAAAAACGAAAAAAAATTATTATTATTATATCTTATCCTAATAAATCATAGATTTCTTCAGTATGGCAGTGCAAACAGCTGTATGGATTAGCAAGGTTTACTAACTCATTGCAATTACTGAGACGTAAGTTACCTCTACTGACATTGGCCGAGGGATGATTTCAGATGTTTTGCTATTGGTTGCTGCATTATGCACAGCCTTATTTATGAAATCTGATAGTCCTCAGATCCTTATGTACTCAGCCCTGTTAGCCAGAAATAAACCCCTAAATTCTACCACTTCTGAAAATATTAAAGTGACACTAAACTCACAAGTTACACCTTAAAAGAGAACTATGGGTCTGACTTTTTTTTGCCATAGTTTTCTTCAGGAACAAGTATGTAGAGGCGTTGTTCTTATTTCACTGTCGGAATGTGTTTTCTTGGTCAGCAGTTTAGAAATGACTACTATAGTCAGGGGAAGGAAGGCAGAGCATGTTTTTATGAGGGGGTCATTAATGGCAGCCTATATAGTTCTCTAATGACAGGATACCTTTAATGTGAGCTGCAGCATGTATTTGCTGCCCTGAATTGGTCTCTTTGTGTCTCACTGTGCTCACTTACTAGCTATGATCTGTACAGGGAATATAATTGGCAAGTGTATAATCTGACTAATGCTGAAATCATCCCTTTCCCAATAGTAATATCTGAGCTGCATTTTATAAAATTCTATATATCGGAGACCCATCTGGTAAAACTATTGTTGAATATAAGTTACAGGATAGCGATATACAAAGTAACAACTTAGTGCATCTTTACTATTTAACAGCAAGTTGATATCCCCACCACACAGATTCTTCATCTATTAGGAAGTCTGGGAAATTAAAAATATCCTTGTTAAGGTTCTCCTTATCTCATTGCAAATTAAGATAGTCCATCACTGTCATTCATTAATGCAGGGAGCTAACATTTTACCGGTTACTACTCTGCTAAAAGTGTCATGCTATTTCACGGTTAAAGAGGATTACAGGTACATGTAGAAGAAAAATCAGTTTGTGCATATATACAGTACTGTGCAACAGTGTTAAGCACTTGTGAATAAAAAATGCTGTAAAGTGAGAGGATGTGTTTGAAAATATTGCAATGAATGTTGATTAAGAGCCTAAAACGTGAATAAACAGAAAAAAAATCTAATCAATATTTGGTGTGCCCCACCCCCCCCATCCCTTGCCTTTAAACCAGCATTAATTCTCCTAGGTATACTTGCACAAAGTTTTTTTTAAGGATCTCTGCATATAGGTTGTTCCAAGAACCTAGGAGAACTAGATGGAGATTTCGGCTGTTTCAGTTACTTCTTTCTGTCTCTTCATGTAATTCCAGACAGACTCAAAAATGTTGAACAGGGCTATATGGGGGCCTTACCTTCTCTTCCAGGACTCTGCGTTCTTCTGTTTGCTGAATATAGTTCCTTATGACTTTGGCTGTATGTTTGGGGTCATTATTCTGCATCAGAATGAATCTGGGACTGATCAGATGCCTCCTATTGTGAGATGGATAAGTACATTTGTCATGGAAAAATTTATTGGTACCCTTACAGCCTATTGAAACAATGCTTCAATCATCCTGAAAAATGATTACATTAAAAGCAATTGTCTCATGTATACCTGCATGTCTTTGGTATGTTATGGAGTAAGGAACATTTGAAGAGAGATAATCTATTGCTTATTCTTCAAAGATATTCCAAAATGGCCTGGGCAGATTTGTTGGTACCACTAGAAAAGATTATAAATTATTGGATCATTGTGATATTTCAAACTAACTGTTTTCTGTGATTAGAATCACACATCTTCAATCTTTTCAGTCAGTCAGCCTATTGCCTGTTTCGAAGGTAAACCATCTTCATGTAACTTGTTGTTCCTGTGACTACAGTTTTAAACAATATTAAGACGTTTAATGCCCATGAGAGTGTAGACAACCTGTCTGGATGTGGCTGCAGGAGAAAAAAAAATACCCCAGATTGAACAGAAGGATATTACAAATGGTAGACAAGAGTCAAGGAAAACTTCCAAAGAGATGAACTCCATTGTCAAAGTACTTCAGTGTCTGATAGCACCATTCCTCACTTTTTGAGCAACATTAGGATCAAATGAAGAGGAGGAAAGAAAACATAAAAAAGTTAGACTAGAGTTTGATAAAAATCCACATTGGCAAGCCACAAGGCTTCTGGGAGAATGTCTCTTGGACAGACGAAACAAAACTAGATCTTTTTTGGTAACTCAAATTAGCTCTATGTTCAAAGACATAAACAAAATTGAAGCTTTCAAAGAAAAAACACTGTATCTATTGTGAAACATAGGGGAGGATATGTTATGGTTTGGGGCTGCTTGGCTGCATCTGGCATGGGGTGCCTTGAACCTGTGCAGGACACAATGAAATCGCAAGACTATCAAGGAATTCCGGAATGAATAATACTGTTCATTGTGAGAAAGCTCTGTCTCCGTTGCAGGTCATGGGTCCTTCAACAGGTTAGTGACCCAAAACACACATTTCAAAAAGGAATAGCTAAGAACAAAACATTGGAATATTCTAAAGTGGCCATGAGACGTGGCCTTCTAAAGTTCAGGCTTGAG